AAGCTGATTGGTCTATAAGATGAGCAATATCGAGGGTCCTTATTCTTCTTTAATAGCAGTGTAATAGATGCCTGGCGAAGCGTAGGCAGAAGAGTGTTATTTTCCAGTGCTTCTGCATAGACTGACAGAAGAAGAAGTTTATCTTTACATTTTTTATAAAAGTCAGTTGGAAACCCATCCGGACCAGGGGCTTTTCCACTCTGAAGGGACATTATTGCATTGTTAATTTCCTCCAACGTCAGATTTTGTTCCAATCGTTCTTTAAAGTCAGAGTCAATTGTAGAAACGTTCAGATTAGAAAAAAAAGCGTCAAATTGGTTGTGATCTGATGTTGAGTCTGAAGAGTATAATTTAGAATAAAAGTATTTAAAGCAGTTGTTAATAGCTTGATGATCCTCCGTTGAGGAGCTATCCGGTAGCATAATTTGCAAAATAGTACGGGATGCCGCTTTTTGGCGGAGTTGACTAGCTAATAGTTTGGAAGGTTTATCCCCCTCTTCATATAATCTACTACGGGACTTAAAGATGAGCCTCTCCGCTTGGGTGGTAGTTAAGAGATCAATTTCAGTTTGTAAGCCTACTCTCCTCCTAATCAAATCAGGGGTCGGAGAACCAGATATGAGTCCATCCAGAGCCTTAATTTCTGAAGAAAGCTCCTCAATATTCTTATACTTCATTTTCCTAATATAAGCAGAGCGAGAAATAATCTGTCTCCTAAAATACGCTTTAAGTGTCTCCCAGAGGGTTGAGGTTGAGATCATCAGTCTTATTTACCTGCAGAAAGAAATCTATTTGTTCTGTAATGAACTTCACAAAGTCTGAATCAGCCAGCAGGAGTGTGTCAAGCTGCCATGTCCGTTTTGTCCTCTGAGTCGGAAGAGTTACCTTAATACTAACCGGAGCGTGATCAGAAATAATGATTGGATCATATTTGCAATCTGTAATAACACTGAGCAGATAGGGGTCAACCCAAAAAAAAATCTATCCTGGAAAATGACTTTACATTAGAGTAATACGAATACTCCCTTTTGGTGGGATGTTTAAATCTCCATGGGTCTATAAGTCTATGTATATCTATGAACGACTGGATTGTTTGCACAGATTTAGACGGCCTTGATACAGAGAAGAGCGATCCCAGACAGAATCCATCACCAGGTTGTAATCCCCAGACATAATTAAGTGATAACTATCCAGATTAGGTATGGAGCTTAGCATCTTTTTACAAAAATTATCATCATCAAAGTTTGGGCCGTAAATATTAACCAATACTAAGCGAAGTTGGAACAGCTCTCCCACAACCATTACGTATCTGCCATTTGGGTCCAAGATAGTGTCTGATACAATGAGAGGAATCTTTTTATGAATGAGTATAGCTACTCCTCTACCTTTACAGTTAAATTGTGAATGAAACATTTGCCCCACCCATTCTTTGTGAATTTTAGACTGGTCTCGATTTTGAAGGTGGGTTTCCTGTAGGAAAGCAATACCAACCCCAAGATATTGTAAGTGAGAGAGAACCCTTTTTCTTTTGATTGTCTGATTCAGACCCCTCACATTCCAGCATTCATTTTAATGTCATCTTTACCTGGGACAAGATGTGAATTACTCTGTGTCTTTAGAACCACTCAATTCAAAGATACCTGTGTCTACCCCATTTAGATGATAAAAAAGCCGGATAGGTGCACAAACTATACATAGAACAAATACCACATCAAAATTACTACATATAACACATAAACAAGCCTTAAGAAGGCTACCCCCCCCCCAGAAAACTTCAAACTACTGCAAACCTGCATTTACATGCTACCCGCAGTGATGGATACCTTTTTCAACCATTGATGAACCTCTCCAACAGTGTATTAAATGAGCTGTGACTTCATTTTACATTATTGAAACAGTGATATCCATAGACCGTAGAAAGTCACTGTAGCGAGACCGGTGGTGATCATAAAACTAAAATAAAAAAAAATAAAAAAAATGAATTAAAAAAAAATAATAATAAAGCATTTAGGAGGGCCTACATATGTAGCGTTACGTGTGATGTGTACACACACCTTCACACACAAAACGTTCACTGCCTCTATGAACAATGCTAATAAAATAATACTATAAAAATAGAAAAACTTCATACGTTTCCCGTTGTGTGTGAACTGCAGAGTGGCTGGGTAGTAGAGGCCGAACTGGATCTTTGCGGCGTGGAGCTTCTTTTTGGACTCGGAGAAGGCTGTGCTTCGTTTGTTGACATCCGGGCTGTAGTAAGGAAGGATGTGAAATCTTGATCCGTTGAAGGAGAGCGGGCCCTTCTGTCTGGCGAGGCGTAGGATCAACTCTTTGGTTTGAAAGTGATGGAGCTTGACAATGAATGGCCGTGGTCTATTGTCGCCATCAGCTGGTTTTGGGGCCAAACTCCTGTGGGCTCTATCCACCGACGGCGGCTTCTCAAAACTGTCTTCCCCAAGCACATCGATGAGTAGTTTGGTGATGAATTCTGTTGGTCGCGGGCCCTCCGCATTTTCTGATATCCCCACAATGCGTATATTCTGCTGTCTAGTGTAGTTTTCCAAGTACGCCACCTTCTCCCTCAAAGCACCGTTCTCTTTAGCCAGCGAAGTTTGGGAAGCTTCCACGCTGCTCAGTCTCTTGTCGAACTCAGTCGGCCCGTCCTCCATATCAGTAATTTGTTGGCCATACAAATTCAGGATCGAGTGTAAAGAAGCAATAGACGCCCGGTTCTCCTCCCGAAACAAGTTGATAGAGGCTTGCACAGCAGTAACTGCATTTACCAGCGCATCCATGTTATTAGCATTAGCACCTGTTTCTGCGCTAACGCTAGGCGAGGAGTTCGAATCGCCCCGTGTTGTGGCTTTCCCACTTTGTTGTTTGGCCGGTTTGGGAGGCATTCATCCACTCATAAGGTAGTAAAGTCACTTAGTGTGTGTTTCCAACAGAGTTTGAACGGTTACGAGGTCCAAAATGTATAAATTTGATAGATTTCTGCGGGAGCTGAGGAAGACACGTCTACTCACTACTCCTGCTCAAGCGCACCCAGCTATTTAAATAAGTTTTCAATAAACGTTGAACCCGTCAGACCCTTGACTTGTAGCAATTTTTTAATCTCGGCCCACTGTGTATTTGAGTTTGACACCCCTGCTCTAGAGTTTATACACTATTTATTGATTATAGATTATTGATTCCAGGCCCAGAAGCTCTTATGCACTAAATAATTACAGAGCTGCAGTGATGATGTATTTTCTGTATTCCAACCATACTATTTTGAATTATTGATGAAAATGATCTGTGGTGAACAAAGGTTTATGATACAGCAAAAAAATCTAACCCTCCATAAACGAATGGTCACATAACTTCAACATCACCACTACTAAACTTCCAACTTGTATTTAGGGTTAGCCTAAACCTCTGTAGTGTCATTTAGACACTTGTTAGCAACCGCCTTTTTTAAGACAAGTAAAAGCTTCAACATTCACAGGCGGGGTATTTACTGACGGAATTTACATTGGAGAACAAAATGTGAAAATCTCTTAAACTGGTGTTAACCACACACCTTATTTTAGACATCTAATCAAAACTTCTATTTGTCAACGAGAAGAAAACAGACCTCTGATAGGTCCATGAAATGTCCATCAGTGAGTGAATGTGTTTGTTGATTTCCAACAGCATTGGTGGTGTTATGGAAGCAGTTTGCCCAGCTACATTAGATACATTTCCAACAACCGGTACAAAGGGTTTCTGTGATTGTGACGGTTAGGGTTTTTTGTGTAATGAATAAATTCAATCATGTCATCAAAGACTGAAATTAGCCTTAGTACTGTGAAACTTTAGTTTTTCTCTGTGATTACCTACTATAAATGAGTGTGTAAGTCAAGTTTAAACAGATGACTAATGATAACTAGAATACTTGCAGTTCCTGAAGAAAAAACATGCTATTGCTGTCTCTGTTGCTGCTGCCGCTGCTCATAGGCACATATTCTGTCCCAGCAAGAAATGTTTGTGATTCATATCTGAAGAAACCACCCTAAATTGGTGGTTATTGAATACTGCGTTCAAGAGATATGGTGGGGTTTATTAATGGCCACAAGGTGGAGCTAATGTTAGAACTATATGAAATGTTGCACACACATACACTGTGGCTTTATCTACAACATTCCCAAATGTGGTTGCAATCCATTTCAGCCTTCAAAAGTTTGGTTACCAATTACAGACAAACGTGCTGGCAAATGATAAGTCTTGTTCGGCTTCATAAAAATATGATATGTACTGATTATAGTGAAAATTGGATGAAATATGTGCCAAAAGAAGCAAAAAATTTCTATTTTTAAGGTGCGAGTAGGCGTGGCCTATATCAGTAAAATGGGCATCATCAAAGGAACGCACTATACAATTTTTTTTCTTCTATTCCTAACTATTCATGAGTTAATGCTTAATAACCGACTTCATGCTGGCACTATTGTTCTGCTGGTGTCAGTTCAGTTTAATTCAATTTTATTTGTATAGTGCCAATTCATAATAGAAGTTATCTCAGGACACTTAATGTAAAATGAATAGAGCAGGTCTAGACCGAACTCCTTATAACATTATTTACAGAGACCCAACAGTCAGGTCTATTGTCAAATATTTTGTGTTTTTGTGGTAGAAACGTGATATATCATATCCAAAGATATTTAAATCAAACAATTAGACCTCTACTGTCTGTCCATGGTGCAGAAATATGCACATAATAACAACAACAACAACAACAACAACAACTAATAATAATAATAACAACAATGATAATAACAATTTATTTATATAGCACAATTCATGCATAAAATGCAACACAATGTGCTTAACATCAGATAAGATAATCATGACTTATTATAAAAAGAATACAAACAAGGAAAATAAAAACAAATGGAAATGAATTAAAACAGTAGGATATATATATATATATAAGTGAACGTCTATTCAAATATATTAATATTGTTATTATATTCTGTTCTCAGCTGATGAGTGGAGGCGCTCCAGCGGTGCCGATGTCTCTCAGGAGGAACTGTCTCGGTCAGCTCGGCTTCCATGTTAATTTTGAAGGCGTGGTGGCGGATGTCGAGGCCCATAGCTTTGCCTGGCAAGTGGGCCTCCGCCCTGGCTGCAGGCTGATGGAGATCTGTAGCATCGCTGTGGTAACGTTGTCTCACGAACAGATGGTTGAGCTGCTGCGGACGTCGCCGATGGTCACCATGGTGGTCATCCCGCCAAACAGAGATGGGACGCCACGCAGGTCGGTAGAGCGTTTATTATTCTAAATATTTTTAAGGCTTGTTTTGTCTCAGGAACAACAACAACAACAACAACAACAGTAAATCACAGCTCACAACCCTTTATTCTACATTATTAAACATGATGGTTCTCTATTTAACCAACTACAAGTCAGAGGAACAACACACTAGGATCCAGAACCATGAGGCAATGACCCCCGGCTCACTGTGCATCAGTTTATTTTTGGTTCTAAATGAATTAATTGCACATTTATTCAAGAATTGTAAACACTAAAATACAATCTGAACTGAGGCAGACCCTCTGTATTGTATGTTTACATGGTTCATAATAATAAATGACAAGAACTTTAGAATAGATACTCAATTCAATTCAATTCAATTTTATTTGTATAGTGCCAATTCATAACAGAAGTTATCTCAGGACACTTTTCAAATAGAACAGGTCTAGACTGAACTCCTTATAACATTATTTACAGAGACCCAACAGTACCACCATGAGCAAGCATTTAGCGACGGGGGCAAGGAAAAACTGCCTTTTAAGAGGCAGAAACCTAGGACAGACCCTTCGGCTCTAGGTGGGTGGTTGTCTGCCTCAACCAGTTGGGGTGAGAGAGAGAGAGAGAGAGAAAGAGAGAGAGACAGACAGACAGACGCACAGCAACAACAGTAGCAACAACTACACTAATAGTAGTGACTGATGATGATGAACATGAAGAAGTTGATGACGACGACGACGACGACAACAACAACGATGGGGGACAATGAGCAGTAACTATAGTAATAATAGTAACTGTAGTAATAATAATATTAATAATAATAATAATATCAGTGACATTAGCAATGCCAGTCAGGCAGGACCATGGCAGGAGGCTCCACTAAGGGATGGTTCAGGACTCACCTGAGCCAGCCCTAACTATAAGCTTTATCAAAGAGGAACGTCTTAGGTTGACTCTTTCAATTCAATTCAATTTCAATTCAATTTTATTTGTATAGCGCCAATTCATAACAGAAGTTATCTCAGGACACTTTTCAAATAGAGCAGGTCTAGATCGAACTCTTTAAAACATTAATTACAGAGACCCAACAGTACCACCATGAGCAAGCACTTGGCGACAAGGGCAAGGAAAAACTGCCTGTTAAAAGGCAGAAACCTAGGACAGATCCTCCGGCTCTAGGTGGGTGGTCGTCTGTCTCGACCAGTTGGGGTGAGAGAGAGAGAGAGAGGCAGAGAGAGCGAGAGACAGACAGACTCTTAAATGTTGAGAGGGTGTCGGCCTCCAGAACCACGACTGGAAGCTGGTTCCACAGGAGAGGAGCTTGGTAGCTGAACACTCTGGCTCCTGTTCTACTTTTAGAGACTATAGGAACCACAAGTAGCCCTGCATTCAGAGAGCGCAGTGTTCTAGTGGGGTAGTAGGGTACTGTGAGCTCTTAAAGATATGAAAGGGCCTGACCATGAAGAGCTTTGTAGGGGAGGAGGAGGAGGATTTTAAATTTTATTCTAAATTTTACAGGGAGCCAGTGCAGAGAAGCTAGTACAGGAGGGATGTGATCTCTTTTTCTAGTTCCTGTCAGTACTCGTGCTGCAGCGTTTTGAATTAATTGGAGCGTTTTAATGGACTTAGTGGGGCAACCTGATAATAAAGAGTTGCAGTAATCCAGCCTTGAAGTAACAAATGCATGGATTAGTTTTTCTGCATCCGTCTGTGACAGCATGTGTCTAACTTTTGTAATATTACGTAAATGAAAGAAGGCAGATAGACAACAATACAGTCATTCTTAATCCTACAAAGGCCTCTTTCATGAAGGCATAAAAAGGTTGAATATCCAGTTTTCATTATAAGCTAATAAATGATCACTTTCATTATTATTATTATTATATTTCATATCTATTTGTTGTTCAAATCTTTACCTGAGAACAAATATGATCCAGTTCCTCGTGAAGCCTCTAAGGCAGGAATGGAGATAAATTGTAAGTTAGGAGAACACCAACTGCTCCGCTATCAGAAGGGATGGCTTTGGCTCAGAGGCAGAGCGGGTCGTCCACTAATCGGAAGGTTGTTGGTTTGATACCCAGCTCCTCCTGCTGTATGTGGAAGTATCCTTGAGCAAGATACTGAACCCCAAACTGCTCCTGATGCTGTGCATCGGTGTGTGAATGTGAATGAATGAGTTAGTTTCTGTTCGATGGACTTTGCCATCGCTGTGTGAATGTGTGTGAAAGGGTGAATGTGGCTCTAGTGTAAAAGAAGACTAGAAAGGAAACTATACAAGAACAGTCCATTTACCAAAGGCAATAATCATAGATTTACAGTCTGTAATAAAGTGTTATTACAGGTCATAGAATAACACCAGTAAACTTCTTAACTGAAACATTTTGTGAAACAGTGAATTTATTTATAACATCTTTTTAACAATTTAAGAGTTTTAGAAAGCTACAGTTTTGGAGAATGAGTCTGATTGGTCCAACAGTCACTGGAATAAATACACAAAAATATGATAGTATTCAAGGTGGTGAAGGGTTGGATATGGACCAATACTGTCTGTATCCAGAGGATCATAGACATGGATATTTTATATGACATGATGATATACAGATCTGCATATATGTCCATAAATCTGGACATCATTAATCCTTTTCATCTAGTATGAGAGGTTATGTGAGGACACACACACTCATTCTGATCTGGTGGATAATTCTGCTTTCTGTTTGAACTCAGTGGACTTCCTCTCTGACAATTGAAATGTTTCAGTCAGTCACTCTTTAATCTGTCCTGTAATCCGGATTATCAGTTGGTGTTATAGACCAGCTGCTCTGCAGACTGAACAGGCCTGGCAGTCACAGCTCAGGGAATAACACCTGTACCAGTCCCCTCCTGGATCAGTCAAGAGCTGCAGATCCTGATCTGTCAGAATCAGAATCAAGATCCATCATCCTCAGGGCAGATTTAACCCTATCTAGTGCAGCAGCTTTACTGCTGACCTCATGCTGATATCAGCGTGCAGAAGTAGGTACATCAGCCGTGTGTATAATTAGAGATTAATGAAAGGTCTTGGCATCACCAGGATCCACGAGAACCTGCGAGACGAGAAAGCATAAGAACTCCGGGGAAGAGGTGAAGTTAGTAACATGCATTAATGGGACATGAATGAGTGCAGAAAGAGACAGGAAGAGAGGAGCTCAGTGCACCATGGGAAATCCCCCGATAGTCTAGGCCTATAGCAGCATAACTAAGGGATGGTTCAGGACTCACCTGATCCAGCCCTAACTATAAGCTTTATCAAAGAGGAATGTCTTAAGCCTACTCTTGAATGTGGTGAGGGTGTCTGCCTCCAGAACCACAACTGGAAGCTGGTTCCACAGGAGAGGAGCTTGGTAACTGAAGGCTCTGGCTCCTGTTCTACTTTTAGAGACTATAGGAACCACAAGTAGCCCAGCATTCAGAGAACGTAGTGTTCTAGTGGGGTAATAGGGTACTATGAGCTCTTTAAGATATGAAGGGGCCTGACCATGAAGAGCTTTATAGGTGAGGAGGAGGATTTTAAATTCTATTCTACATTTTACAGGGAGCCAGTGCAGAGAAGCTAGTACAGGAGAGATGTGATCTCTTTTTCTAGTTCCTGTCAGTACTCGTGCTGCAGCGTTCTGAATTAATTGGAGCGTTTTAATTGACTTAGTGGGGCAACCTGATAATAAAGAGTTGCAGTAATCCAGCCTTGAAGTAACAAATGCATGGATTAGTTTTTCTGCATCTGTCTGTGATAGGATGTGTCTAATTGTTGTAATATTACATAAATATTACAATGTAACAGACTATCAGTTATTGCTCCTCTAGTTATTGACTCACTCTGAGGAGATAACTCACACAGCTGTTGCTACCAGTGGTGATGATCAAACTTTATCCAGATTTTAATCTTGTGTGTGTGTGGGTGTGTGTGTGTGTGTGTTAAATATAAGTGACCAAATCAATTCAATTCAATTCAATTCAATTTTATTTGTATAGCGCCAATTCATAACAGAAGTTATCTCAGGACACTTTTCAAATAGAGCAGGTCTAGACCGAACTCTTTAAAACATTAATTACAGAGACCCAACAGTACCACCATGAGCAAGCACTTGGCGACAAGGGCAAGGAAAAACTGCCTGTTAAAAGGCAGAAACCTAGGACAGATCCTCCGGCTCTAGGTGGGTGGTCATCTGTCTCGACCAGTTGGGGTGAGAGAGAGAGAGAGAGAGAGAGAGCGAGAGACAGACAGACAGACAGGTGCACAGCAACAACAGTATTGGCAATGGCAATCTAGCAGGACCAAACATACACATTAATGCAACAGATAGATATAATATTAGATAATATTCTATTTGTATTTTCACTACAAAGAAAATATTTACATTCTGTCTGTCCTGTCAGTGTGGAAACAACTTAAACCAGAGGTAAATTATTAGTTTATTAAATAAGTATTAAGTTAGCTTTTCAACTTGTCTAATTTGAGTTAAAAATGTTTAAAATAATGTTTTCTCTGTTTTTTGCTCCATCAGGTTGACTGCTTCAAAAAATACATTTAGAAAAGTGAAAGTGTAAACAGACAGTGTGCTTTCACCCTTGTGTCTGAAACTCGGTCAGCTGTGAATTAATAATGAGCTGCAGTGTTTTTAAGGTCATCTGTGCTGAAGAAACAGAGTGGAGATTATCAGAGCAGAAAACAGGACTGTGGTTCATTTATGTTCACTCTGTTTAGTCTTACATAGAGTGACTAACAGGAAGGTTAGGCTAGAGCTCAAAACAAATCTAGGTAGAAACAATTATTATATACAGACAGGTAGCTGAACAGATAGATGTGTATATAAATAAAGAGAAACACAGTACAACGTCTATACAAGATAATAAAATCATCTAAAATGCTTATTATCATGGATAAAAATAAAATGTATGAAGTTATTAACAGTCTCATGTTCCTCAGTTTGTGATGGACACAAAAAAAGATGAACTGTGTTAGAAAATATCTTCTTCTTTGATAAAAGGTCAAAGATAAAAGAATCCTGTAGGCATAAAAAAACGGAATGAATAATCTCTCTCTGCTCTCTAAACTACATTTCATCAGGACTTGTTGATCACACCATTAATAACAAGACTATCACATTTAATTGGGAAAGAAGTTTAAATACAGGGAAAACTGTGTACAATTAGCTGATAATTATCCTGATCAGCCAGCGTCAGTAATCAATACTCACATCATTAAAGCATTAATCAATCTCATACCGTCAGACAACCTTATCAGCCTTTAGCAGTTAGCTAGTGTTTCTGTAGTGGAGACAAAACGTTAACAATGATCCATATCAGCAGTTTGAATCCAACTAAAAGCTTCCAGTACCAAACTCCCTTTAAGAAATATCACATTTTAACAATTCCTAACGTGTTCGTAACAACAAGTAAGTCTAGAAACACGAGCTAAAGGCCGTCATATGTCCACAGTCTGACTGTCAATACAGGATCAATATCATCCATAAAGATACAGCATATTCTGACCAATAATCCATAAAGATACAGTGTATTCTGATCAATAATCCATAAAGATACAGTGTATTCTGATCAATATCATCCATAAAGATACAGTGTATTCTGATCAATATCATTCATAAAGATACAGTGTATACTGACCAATAATTCATAAAGATACAGTGTATACTCATCAATATCATCCATAAAGATACAGTGTATTCTGACCAATAAACCATAAAGATACAGTGTATTCTGATCAATAATCCATAAAGATACAGTGTATTCTGATCAATATCATCCATAAAGATAAAGGAATGAGAGGCTTTTCTCAGTAAAATAAGAGCTGGTTGGTGGATCAAATACTGAACCAGCTGAACACCGACTCATAACCCTTTTCATTAACGTCTATTATTTGTGCCGCTGTCGTTACCATAGTAACTACCGGTTCTCTTCTGGTGCTGGAGAAAGACTGCTCTGATTGGCTGCTCGTTGTGATTTTAATCCTGATAAATATTTCTATTTATATTCAACTATATTTCTTCAAAAATCATGTAGCGTGAACTCGGCAAAAACAGCCAATCACAGAGCTCCACTGTTAATTGTCAACGTTTGATCCCATCAACAAACCGACATGTTACATTTTCTCTGCAGTGAGGAAACAGAGCAGTTCATATTGGCTTTTATCTGTTTTGAATCTGGTTCTAATCTGGTTCTAATCTGGTCTCTTTCTATTCAGGAGTTTCTCTGAGATTTATCCGGTCCCGATCATCAAGTACAAACTGGAAGCTGATCTCACTTCCTGCTCCTTTAGAGAGGCCCTGCCCACCTGGAACCAGGTGTGTGCAGCCACACCCATGTCCAAAACCTCATCCAATCAGTACACAGCATCAGGACCAGAAAACCATTTTAACCAGTTTAAACCAAGCTCCTCTTTTGACACAACGGAAGAATCCAGGTAACGATGTGCATTAGGACCTCAATCCTCAAGTCTGTTCACTAATGAATGATTAATAATAATTGTTTTCCCAGAATGCATCAGGCCTGCGACTTGTCTCCCGTCTTGTTGTTCTGCAGCTCACCGAGCAAACAATCGACCTCCAGTGACCCTGAACACAGCAGGTAATCTGATTGCTTAGAGTAAATGTAATTACAGTAATTACAGTAATTAGATATATGGTCTGATTACTTTGGGCCAGTAATCTGATTAGAGTAATCTCCCCTACTTCCTGTCAGAGGTCAGTCTGCAGGTCTTCCTAATGGGTCCAGCTCTGATGGAGGCACACAGTACAGACTGGGGAGAACCAGGTCTACAGGTGAGAGTCTACTGGACCTGATCCAGAACAGACCTGATTCAGGATGATGTAACAATCTGTTTTTTAAAATGAAACCTGTATTTAATGATATTTATTGACGATAGTGAATGTTAGATAGTCATATATCATATAGAGTTATATATATCATATAGAGTTATATATATCATATAGAGTTATATAATAATAATAATAATAATAATATATTTTATTTGTAAAGCACTTTTCATAAAAGAATCTCAAAGTGCTACAGAAACCAAGAAAAAGAAAAAAAAAATAACAAAAACACTAAGGGCAATAACACATTAAAATCAGCAACAAATAAAAATACAAGTGATAAAATACATTAAGAAAAACAGCTTAAAGAGGAGTTGAAGTGCAGACTGAAATTAGAAAAGGACAACTTAAGAACGCCTGCCTGAACAAAAAAGTTTTAAGCCCTTTTTTAAAAGTGTCCACAGACTGGGGTTTTCGCAGATGTTCAGGGAGGGAGTTCCAGATGTGAGGGGCACATATAGAGTTATATTTTATATAGAGTTATATATGTCATATGTGACCTGCTCCATCATTTTGAGTCACTTTGACCCAGAAACACATTTTGAGTTTTCTTCATGGCTGTAAAGAGGAAAGTCTCAGCTTTATGGCGATACCAAAATTATTTTTCTACTCCAAAATTGTATGAGACACGCTCTTCCAAAGGTCGACTGTCACCAAACCTTGTTTTTGAGGAAAAAGGGCTCTAAAGATAGCAATCAACATTCCGCCATATTCCAAATGAATTGAAAGACATTTATAAACAGTTTATATTGAAATAAATGAATTTACAATTCAAAGTGCTTTACATAGTCGGCGGTAATGACGCCTGTTTACGCCAATTGGAGGTCACTAAGATTAATGTGGAGTCGGTGTGTAATTATGCCCAATGTGACCAGTGATGACATGTATAGCCGCATGTCGTCATTCCACCGCTGGCTGTCGAGGTGGTGTCCAGAAAACGATGTGGGCTTCATTGATAACTGGAAGCCTTTTTGGGGAAAACCTGGTCTGATTAGGAGAGACGGCATCCATCCCACTTGGGGGATGGAGCAGCTCTCTTATCTAGCAACATGGCGAAGTTTATTTCTAAAACCTGACAGTTCAGAGTTGGGACCAGGAAGCAGAGCTGCTGTCTTACACACTTCTCTGCGCTTTCTTTAGAACAGTCACCCACCCAAAACCCCATAGAGACTGTGTCTGTCCCCCGACCACCTAAATTATTTAAAGAAATAAAAACAAGAGGAGCTCAACATAAAAATCTAATAAAAATTAAAACCAACTCGTCAGTAGCACAAAATAAGAGAATGAAATGTGGGCTGTTAAATATCAGGTCTCTGTCCTCTAAAGCTGTTTTAGTGAATGAGTTAATATCAGATTATGATATTGATTTACTTTGTCTTACTGAGACCTGGTTGTCCCACGAGGAGTATGTTAGCCTAAATGAATCCACCCCCCACAGTCATATTAATGTAACCGGTTAGTTTCTGGCGTTGTCTGCGTTGTGTCTTGATGAAGAGGCCCAGACCAGGATATCTTTGGAGGCGAGCTCCGTTTATTCTGACAAAGGTGTAAATAACAACAATATCCTCCGATCAATTGTTATCAACGTGAGCTCCTCTCCCAAGGAGTACAACAGCAAAAGGGGAGAGGAAAAAGCGTGAGACACATTTATAGGGGGGACCCACGAAAGTGAACGTCGGGGTACAGAAACTGAGTCTCAAACGTTCCACATATTTACTCAGGAGGCCGGACATGTCAGGTTATAACTAACAGATTTTGTGTAATTATAATACTACATATTGCTGTTGTATATTTGACTCTGTTACACATATTACTGCTGTATAATTGACTCTGTTACATTAATACTCACATTCCTCGAGGCACAGGCCGAGGAGGTGGAGTAGCAGCCATATATGATTCGAGCGTTTTAATGGACCCTAAACCTAAACTAAATTATAATTCATTTGAAAGCCTTGTTCTTAGTCTTTCTCACCCAAACTGGAAAACACTGCAGCCAGTTCTATTTGTTATAGTGTACCGCGCTCCTGGACTGTACTCTACCGTACTATTTTATATCTGAATTCTCAGAGTTTTTATCAAGTTTAGTCCTTAAATCAGATAAAGTAATTATTGTAGGTGATTTTAATATTCATGTGGATGTTAACAATGACAGCCTTAGTAATGCATTTATATCATTAATAGACTCAATTGGCTTCTGTCAGAGTGTAAATAAACCAACTCATTGTTTTAATCACACTCTTGACCTTGTTCTATCATATGGCATTGATATTGAACATTTAATAGTCTTCCCACATAATCCTTTCCTATCTGACCATTATTTAATAACTTTTGAATTCATACTATTAGATTATAAGCCATTAGGCAAAACTTCCTACAGCAGATGTCTATCTGACAGTGCTGTAGCTAAATTTAAGGAGGAGATTCCTTCAGTGTTTAATTCAATGCCATGTCTGAATTTAACAGAGTCCTATAACAACTTTAGTCCCTCTGAAATTGATAATCTTGTCGATAGTGCTACAGGCTCACTACGATCAACATTAGACTCTATCGCTCCTATAAAAAGGAAATTATTAAAACATAGGAGACTAGCACCTTGGTATAACCACCAAACCCGCCAGTTAAAACAAATAGCTAGGAAATCTGAAAGGAAATGGCGCTCTTCCAAATTATCAGAATATCGCTCAATTTGGCATGATAATCTTGAACCTTATAGAAAGGCCCTCCGTAATGCCAGAGGAGCCTATTACTCAGCACTAATAGAAGAAAATAAGAATAAACCTAGGTTCCTCTTCAGCACTGTAGCCAGGCTGACAGAGAGCCACAGCTCTATTGAGCCACATATCCCCATGAACTTAAGTAGCAATGACTTCATGAGCTTCTTCTATAATAAAATTATTACTATTGGAGAGAAAATTAATCACCAACTGCCATCAACAGTTATCAGTGGCTCTCCAAGTTCAGGGACTTCTGCCAATGTAAACTTAGATATATATTTAGACTGTTTTTCTGCTATCGATCTTCATCAGTTAACTTCAATCATTTCATCATCGAAAGCCATCAACCTGTCTATTAGACCCGATCCCAACTAGGCTGCTTAAAGAAGTTGTTCCCTTAATTGGCACTTCTTTACTGGATATTCAATTCAATTCAATTCAATTTTATTTGTATAGCGCCAATTCATAACAGAAGTTATCTCAGGACACTTTTCAAATAGAGCAGGTCTAGACCGAACTCTTTAAAACATTAATTACAGAGACCCAACAGTACCACCATGAGCAAGCACTTGGCGACAAGGGCAAGGAAAAACTGCCTGTTAAAAGGCAGAAACCTAGGACAGATCCTCCAGCTCTAGGTGGGTGCTCGTCTGTCTCGACCAGTTGGGGTGAGAGAGAGAGAGAGAGAGAGAGAGAGAGAGAGAGGCAGAGAGAGAGAGAGCGAGAGACAGACAGACAGGTGCACAGCAACAACAGTATTGGCAATGGCAATCTAGCAGGACCATGGCAGGAGGCTCCACCAGGATCGACAAGAACCTGCGAGACGAGAAAGCACAAGAACTCCGGGGAAGAAGTGAAGTTAGTAACATGCATTAATGGGACATGAATGAGTGCAGAAAGAGAGAGGAAGGGAGGAGCTCAGTGCACCATGGGAAATCCCCCGATAGTCTAGGCCTATAGCAGCATAACTAAGGGATGGTTCAGGACTCACCTGATCCAGCCCTAACTATAAGCTTTATCAAAGAGGAATGTCTTAAGCCTACTCTTGAATGTGGAGAGGGTGTCTGCCTCCCGAACCACAACTGGAAGCTGGTTCCACAGGAGAGGAGCTTGGTAACTGAAGGCTCTGGCTCCTGTTCTACTTTTAGAGACTGTAGGAACCACAAGTAGCCCAGCATTCAGAGAACGTAGTGTTCTAGAGGGGTAATAGGGTACTATGAGCTCTTTAAGATATGAAGGGGCCTGACCATGAAGAGCTTTATAGGTGAGGAGGAGGATTTTAAATTCAATTCTACATTTTACAGGGAGCCAATGCAGAGAAGCTAGTACAGGAGAGAGTACAGAACCTTGTGGAACTCCATGACTAACTGTAGTATTTATTGAAGATTCATCGTTAACATGTACAAACTGCGAGCGATCTGATAAATATGACTTAAACCAGCTTAGTGCGGTTCCTTTAATGCCAATTTGATGCTCAAGTCTCTCTAAAAGAATATTATGGTCAATGGTGTCAAATGCAGCACTAAGATCTAATAATACAAGTACAGAGACAAGTCCATTGTCAGAAGCAGTCAGAAGGTCATTATTAACTTTAACCAGAGCTGTCTCTGATTAATCTTTCTTTATTATCAGGATATGTACCACAGTCCTTTAAAGTAGCTGTAATTAAACCCCTTCTTAAAAAGCCCACTCTTGACCCAGGGGTTTTAGCCAACTATAGACCGATTTCTAACCTCCCCTTCCTCTCTAAGATTCTGGAGAAGGTAGTTGCCAAAGAGTTGTGTGACTTTCTACATAACAATAGTTTATTTGAGGATTTTCAGTCAGGATTTAGAGTTCATCACAGCACAGAGACAGCTATGGTTAAAGTTAATAATGACCTTCTGATTGCTTCTGACAATGGACTTGTCTCTGTACTTGTATTATTAGATCTTAGTGCTGCATTTGACACCATTGACCATAATATTCTTTTACAGAGACTTGAGCATCAAATTGGCATTAAAGGAACCGCACTAAGCTGGTTTAAGTCATATTTATCAGATCGTTCGCAGTTTGTACATGTTAACGATGAATCTTCAATAAATACTACAGTTAGTCATGGAGTTCCACAAGGTTCTGTACTTGGACCAATACTATTTACTTTATATATATGCTCCCTTTAGGCAACATTATTAGGAATCACTCCATTAACTTTCACTGTTATGCAGATGATACGCAGTTATATCTATCAATCAAGCCCGATGAAATTAATCAATTATCTAAATTACAAACATGTCTTAAGGACATAAAATCCTGGATGACCTGCAATTTTCTGATTTTGAACTCAGAAAAAAACTAAATTCTTGTTCTTGGCCCCAAAAATCTTAGAGACTCACTGTCTAAAGATATAGTTACTCTAGATGGCATTAACTTGGCCTCTAGCACCACTGTCAGGAATCTTGGAGTTATCTTTGATCAGGATTTGTCTTTTAACTCCCACATAAAGCAGACCTCCAGGACTGCCTTCTTTCATTTACGTAATATTAGAAAAATTAGACACATACTATCACAGACAGATGCAGAAAAACTAAGCCATGCATTTGTTTCTTCAAGGCTGGATTACTGCAACTCTTTTTTATCAGGTTGCCCCAATAAGTCCATTAAAACACTCCAATTAATTCAGAACGCTGCAGCACGAGTACTGACAGGAACTAGAAAAAGAGATCACATCTCTCCTGTACTAGCTTCTCTACACTGGCTCCCTGTAAAATGTAGAAAAGAATTTAAAATCCTCCTCCTCACCTATAAAGCTCTTCATGGTCAGGCCCCTTCATATCTTAAAGAGCTCATAGTACCCTATTCCCCCACTAGAACACTACGTTCTCTGAATGCTGGGCTACTTGTGGTTCCTATAGTCTCTAAAAGTAGAACAGGAGCCAGAGCCTTCAGTTACCAAGCTCCTCTCCTGTAGAACCAGCTTCCAGTTGTGGTTCGGGAGGCAGACACCCTCACCACATTCAAGAGTAAGCTTAAGACATTCCTCTTTGATAAAGCTTAGAGTTAGGGCTGAATCAGGTGAGTCCTGAACCATCCCTTAGTTATGCTGCTATAGGCCTAGACTATCGGGGGATTTCCCATGGTGCACTGAGCTCCTCCCTTCCTCTCTCTTTCTGCACTCATTCATGTTCCATTAATGCATGTTACTAACTTCACTTCTTCCCCGGAGTTCTTGTGCTTTCTCGTCTCGCAGGTTCTTGTCGATCCTGATGGAGCCTCCTGCCATGGTCCTGCTAGATTGCCATTGCCAATACTGTTGTTGCTGTGCACCTGTCTGTCTGTCTCTGGCTCTCTCTCTCTCTCTCTCTGTCTGTCTGTCTCTCTCTCTCTCTCTCTCTCTCTCTCTCTCTCTCTCTCTCTCTCTCTCACCCCAACTGGTCGAGACAGACGACCACCCACCTAGAGCCGGAGGATCTGTCCTAGGTTTCTGCCTTTTAACAGGCAGTTTTTCCTTGCCCTTGTCACCAAGGTCTTGCTCATGGTGGTACTGTTGGGTCTCTGTAATTAATGTTTTAAAGAGTTCGGTCTAGACCTGCTCTATTTGAAAAGTGTCCTGAGATAATTTCTGTTATGAATTGGCGCTATACAAATAAAATTGAATTGAATTGAATTGAATTGAATTGGTCACTTATATTTAACACACACACACACACACACATGAGATTAAAATCTGGATAAAGTTTGATCATCACCACTGGTAGCAACAGCTGTGTGAGTTATCTCCTCAGAGTGAGTCAATAACTAGAGGAGCAATAACTGATAGTCTGTAACATTGTAATATTTATGTAATATTACAAAAATTAGACACATCCTATCACAGACAGAATAATTAATATTTTAAAGAGTCTAGACCTGCTCTATTTGAAAAGTGTCCTGAGATAACTTCTGTTATGAATTGGCGCTATACAAATAAAATTGAATTGAATTGAATTGAATCATTATAATCAGAGACATTGTACGCTACCATCGGGTCAGCCATGAGTGGAATATCTTCCTCCTCGCCTCCGTCACACTCACTTTCTTCACCATCACGATCAAAGCCGGCCGGTATCGGTGGCATAGTCCGTAATAAGGTCGATCCAGTTGTCGTCTGAAGTAGCATGTCTTACAGGAATTGAATTTAAAAGTCGAGCAATTTCGTCGTCGCGAAAATTTATTTTATCTAGGCTGTCAATCTGTCAATCTGTCAATCTAAACTGACAGTTGACAGATGACGTAGATGACACAAACACGCTAGCCGGTGTTTTGAACTCTGACACCTGTTTTGTTTTATTTATGCTAGCTATATTTATCCTTTGTATTTTACATTAATTTTGACATTGTATTAAAGCTGAGACTTTATTTAATTAGAAACATGTAAAAACTGAAAATAGCCCAAAATTTTATTTTCTTGCAAAAACGTGTTTCTACAAAAACGGGCCGCTGCGACATCTGACTCATTTTGATGGAACGCGTCACATATAGTATATAGTTATATATATATATATCATATAGAGTTATATTATTTTTATATCAATTTACAATCAACATGTTATCTAACTTCGACAGAAACGGATGCTGGCTCTGGGAGCTTCCAGTTTCGGGTCAAGGTGTTCTACAATGTTCTTTTTGGGATTGTCCTTAGAGGACGCGCTCAGTGTTTACAGAACAGGAAACTGTTCTTAATATATATATATATATATATATATATATATATATTTAATATTGTACTAATATTTTCCACCACAGTCAGTACCTATCAAAAGTGGTCCCAGGAAGGAACAGAACCAGAGACAGGGTCATGGGGGCCCGAGGCTCATTGATGTAGGTGGGGAGTGAAGGCTGGCCCGTGTGGTCCGATCCAACAGACGAGCTACTGTAGCTCAAACAGCTGAAACAGTTAATGCTGGTTCTGATAGAAAGGGGTCAGAACACACAGTGCAGAGCAGTCCGTTGGTCTGGGACTGCAAAACATTATGACCACCAGTAAGCCTAACCCTAACCCAGTAACTATTTTAATGTCATTCACTCTTTATGTTCTCCTCAAGAGACCACGTGGCTTCATCATCATCATCATCATCATCATTATCGTCCTCGTCATCATCATGTGACAAAGGTACTGAGGGAGAGCCAGCTCAGTACAACAGTAGAGAGTGACGACCAGCAGCACAAAGTGAGTTGATTATTAAATCTGACTTTACAAGTTACCTAACTGTTTATTAACACTTAATTGTGTAAAACATGTATCAAAGTTTATAAAAAGTCATATATTAAGTTAATGAGTTATACATTTCTGTCTGAATGTGTTTGTCTGCAGTTTGAAGACAAAAACTCTAGCAGCAACATGTTGTCCAGCAACACATTGTCCAGCAACTCGTGGAGCAGCAGCAGTGGGTTCAGACACTCTGAGCAGCAGGGCCTTACCTACATCGATGGGGCATCAACAGACAGTGGTATAGACTCCTTCCCCAGTATTCCACTGGCCCTGCCTCCTGTTTCTACGGCTACGCTGGTCCTGCGAGACATCCAAGGGGAGGGACCAGATCGAGGACTGACCCAGAAAATCAACCCGACAGCTGACAGCAATCTGGGACACCTGACTGAGAACTGCAGTCTGTCCAGGTGAGAGAAGATTTTAAAAAGACTTCATCACCTTTCCAAGATGCTCCTTACTGGAGGCCTTCACACAATGGGGGTGTTTTTTTTTCAATACAAATTCAAACCCTTAAAATAACAGGTGAATGGTCTCTGACACCAGTTATCATATTGTTTAACTGGTTGATCCATTTACAATTGTATGTCTGCTCAGCCTTAACTCCTGATGGACAGGAAGCTTTACTATATGCTGGTTGGATAGAGAGAGCATAGTGAAATAAAAGGCTGCAGACAGACGATGAGCTGGAGTCAGTAATGTCTCACCTGTCTGTACCTCTTAGATCGGTTACAACTGCTCTCACCTTGGGACCCACATTTTCACAGTCATTGAAAGCACTCTAACAGAATTTAAACCAAGCACATTTATCCTTCCCTAACCCGAACACAATGTCGTCTTGAGCTTTTGTTAATGTAACATAGAGACAGATTTTCATTCCTGCAATCAGAGCACATTACTGTAATAGTAAACTATATACATTTATACAACTGCTGCTGATTCTTATCAATACAATTACAGTTTTTGCCCGTTGCTTGAACACGTTTTGCAAAACTTGGCTCATTCTGTCAAAACTCTACACACAAGCAAATAAGACACAACACTGGGAAATAAACCATTCACATCTATGTCAAATTGAAACTCTGCGATCAAAACCTAACAATCCTCCAAAAATGTCACTCTGATGACAAAATGATACCCACTTGCATCATATAAATACACTTTCAGATCAGCAGCAACATACTAGTCTACTTTATATAAAACACTGCAGTCTTTCGTTTTCACTGTTTTTATTCAGTTCCACAGAAGGCACGTTTTCACAGCAACCAAAAAATGAAATACTCAATTCAAAATCATTACATTACAGTAGTGTATTTTACAATACAGTAAATTCAGTTAAAGCAAAAATAAAACAAAAATAAAACAAACAATAGACTACTGTAAACAGAGAAAAACACAATTGTGCCCAAGTGGGCGTATGGATCCTGCCGTCTGTTGGGGTCTGGCCACAGGATCTCATCAACATCACAAGCAATGTCGTCTCTCGCTAAACATCAGGGAAAATATCCCCTTGTGTGCCGAATTCATCCCTGGATTGACCTTACCTCAATGTCTCCGCAGGCCTGTTCCATTACCTGCAGATGAGGCATACGGGCATGATCAAAAATGAGGTAAAAATCCTCTATAGGATTTAGAAATGGCGAGTAAGGGGGCAAGTACACAACTTCAAACTGATAATGCTTGGTGAACCAGTTCTGGACCAGAGCAGCCCAATGGAAACTAACATTATCCCAGACAACAACAAACCTGGGCTGCTCTGGTCTATCGTGTACAACTGCATCATGAAGTGCATCTAGAAATGTGATTATGTGTTGCGCATTATAGGGACCCAGTTTGGCATGATGGTGCAGTAGCCCTCGAAGACTTATGGCGGCACACAATGTGATATTTCCCCTGCGCTGCCCCAGGACGTGCACAATTGCCCTTTGGCCAATAATATTACATCCCCATCGTCTGTTTTTGCTAAGGTTGAATCTAGCCTCTTCAATGTAAATACATTCATGAGGCTGGGCAGCTCCATCCATGTCCAAGATTCTCTGTAGCAAAAAATACATATTGTTGATGACTTTACTCAAAGCACACAGCTACACAACTACACATACAGAACCACCCCACCCCACCACACAGGTACCTGTGTAGCTTTCTGAATGTATCTATGTGGTACTGATCCAGTGGTACATATTTAGCTGTTACTGGACTGCACCCATTCTGTATTATAAATGTAAAGGATTGTAACACTTACCTGTATATATTCATGTCAAAGTCCTTTGACCCTGACACTGTTCCTCTCAAATGGGACCCTGTACAATTGCTTCATGGTCATGTTGTGCTTTAATTCAATTCAATTCAATTAAATTTTATTTGTATAGCGCCAATTCATAACAGAAGTTATCTCAGGACACTTTTCAGGACAGATCCTTCGGCTTTAGGTGAGTGGTCGTCTGCCTCGACCAGTTGGGGTGAAAGAGAGAGAGAGAGAGAGAGAGAGAGAGAGAGATAGACAGACAGACAGACAGACAGACAGACAGACAGGTGCACAGCAACAACAGTATTGGCAATGGCAATCTAGCAGGACCATGGCAGGAGGCTCCACCAGAATCGATAAGAACCTGCGATACGAGAAAGCACAAGAACTCTGGGGAAGAAGTGAAGTTAGTAACATGCATTAATGGAACATGAATGAGTGCAGAAAGAGACAGGAAGAGAGGAGCTCAGTGCACCATGGGAAATCCCCCGGTAGTCTAGGCCTATAGCAGCATAACTAAGGGATGGTTCAGGACTCAACTGATCCAGCCCTGACTATAAGCTTTATCAAAGAGGAATGTCTTAAGCCTACTCTTGAATGTGGTGAGGGTGTCTGCCTCCCGAACCACAACTGGAAGCTGGTTCTACAGGAGAGGAGCTTGGTAACTGAAGGCTCTGGCTCCTGTTCTACTTTTAAAGACTATAGGAACCACAAGTAGCCCAGCATTCAGAGAACGTAGTGTTCTAGTGGGGTAATAGGGTACTATGAGCTCTTTAAGATATGAAGGGGCCTGACCATGAAGAGCTTTATAGGTGAGGAGGAGGATTTTAAATTCTATTCTACATTTTACAGGGAGCCAGTGCAGAGAAGCTAGTACAGAAGAGATGTGATCTCTTTTTCTAGTTCCTGTCAGTACTCGTGCTGCAGCGTTCTGAATTAATTGGAGCGTTTTAATGGACTTTTTGGGGCAACCTGATAATAAAGAGTTGCAGTAATCCAGCCTTGAAGTAACAAATGCATGGCTTAGTTTTTCTGCATCTGTCTGTGATAGGATGTGTCTAATTTTTGTAATATTACGTAAATGGAAGAAGGCAGTACTAGAGGTCTGCTTCATGTGGGAGTTAAAAGACAAATCCTGATCAAAGATAATTCCAAGATTCCTGACAGTGGTGCTAGAGGCCAAGGTAATGCCATCTAGAGTAACTATATCTTTAGACAGTGAGTCTCTAAGGTTTTTTGTTTTATGTCCTTAAGACATGTTTGTAATTTAGATAATTGGTTAATTTCATCGGGCTTGATCGATAGATATAACTGCGTGTCCTCTGCATAACAGTGAAAGTTAATGGAGTGATTCCTAATAATGTTGCCTAAAGGGAGCATATATTCAATTCAATTCAATTCAATTTTATTTGCATAGCGCCAATTCATAACAGAAGTTATCTCAGGACACTTTTCAAATAGAGCAGGTCTAGACCGAACTCTTTATATATATAAAGTAAATAGTATTGGTCCAAGTACAGAACCTTGTGGAACTCCATGACTAACTGTAGTATTTATTGAAGATTCATCGTTAACATGTACAAACTGCGAACGATCTGATAAATATGACTTAAACCAGCTTAGTGTGGTTCCTTTAATGCCAATTTGATGCTGAAGTCTCTGTAAAAAAATATTATGGTCAGTGGTGTCAAATGCAGCACTAAGATCTAATAATACAAGTACAGAGACAAGACAATTGTCAGAAGCAATCAGAAGGTCATTATTAACTTTAACCAGAGCTGTCTCTGTGCTGTGATGAACTCTAAATCCTGACTGAAAATCCTCAAATAAACTATTGTTATGCAGAAAGTCACAACAACTCTTTGGCAACTACCTTCTCCAGAATCTTAGAGAGGAAGGGGAGGTTAGAAATTGGTCTATAGTTGGCTAAAACCCCTGGGTCAAGAGTGGGCTTTTTAAGAAGGGGTTTAATTACAGCTACTTTAAAGGACTGTGGTACATATCCTGATAATAAAGAAAGATTAATCATATCCAGTAAAGAAGTGCCAATTAAGGGAACAACTTCTTTAAGCAGCCTAGTTGGGATCGGGTCTAATAGACAGGTTGATGGCTTCGATGAAGAAATGATTGAAGTTAACTGATGAAGATCGATAGCAGAAAAACAGTCTAGCGAAGCCAGCGGCCATAGTCAAATGCATCCCTGGGGCCAGAGCGGGCAACATTGAATCAAATTTAAAACTGCTGGCTAAAGGTAAACGTAAATACAGTAAGATTGTTATCCACGTCGGCGGTAACGACACCTGTTTACGCCAATCGGAGGTCACTAAGATTAATGTGGAGTCGGTGTGTAACTATGCTAAGACAATGTCGGACACCGTAGTTTTCTCTGGACCCCTCCCCAATGTGACCAGTGATGACATGTATAGCCGCATGTCGTCATTCCACCGCTGGCTGTCGAGGTGGTGTCCAGCAAATGATGTGGGCTTCATTGATAACTGGAAGCCTTTTTGGGGAAAACCTGGTCTGATTAGGAGAGACGGCATCCATCCCACTTTGGATGGAGCGGCTCTCTTATCTAGAAATATGGCGAAGTTTATACACACTCTTACACACTTCTCTGCGCTTTCTTTAGAACAGTCACCCACCCAAAACCCCATAGAGACTGTGTCTGTCCCCCGACCACCTAAACTATTTAAAGAAATAAAAACAAGAGGAGTTCAACATAAAAATCTAATAAAAATTAAAACCAACTCCTCAGTAGCACAAAATAAGAGAATGAAATGTGGGCTGTTAAATATCAGGTCTCTGTCCTCTAAAGCTGTTCTAGTGAATGAATTAATATCAGATTATGATATTGATTTACTTTGTCTTACTGAGACCTGGTTGTCCCACGAGGAGTATGTTAGCCTAAATGAATCCACCCCCCAGTCATATTAATACTCACATTCCTCGAGGCACAGGCCGAGGAGGTGGAGTAGCAGCTATATATGATTCGAGCGTTTTAATGGACCCTAAACCTAAACTAAATTATAATTCATTTGAAAGCCTTGTTCTTAGTCTTTCTCACCCAAACTGGAAAACACTGCAGCCAGTTCTATTTGTTATAGTGTACCGCGCTCCTGGACCGTACTCTGATTTTATATCTGAATTTTCAGAGTTTCTATC